ATAAAGTAAAACCTAGATTAAGTATACTATATATTATATTTATAGGAAAAAGTTAATTATAAAAACTTAATATAAAGATAAGTTACTAAGTAAGATAAAGGAAAAGTTAGATAAGCTAGTAGTATTTAGTAAAAAAGCTTATCTATTAAAGACTTATAATTAGGACTAGGTTTTTAATTAAATAAAGCTTTACTAAATAAGTCATAAAGGTTTTAAATATAAAGGTATAAAGTGACAGTACTTAACATGTTTTCCTCATTCATGGCCGGCGTCATCAAAGAATCTCGCAAGGATCCCGAGCTTCTGGTCATGCTCCAGAGCTTTGATGCCTGCACTTATGGCGGACTTCCACTGGAGGAAACTGAAGCAACTTGGGCTCGGGAGCAGGGAATCAACCTAGTCGACCTCTTCGCCAGCACAGAGGTCGGCTGTATGCTGATGGGTGTGGGGGGGCGACATGGGAATTTATTGCGGACGTGGCCTGGATCAACATTTGACATGCGACCTATATCAGTCGTGTCAAATGGCACTGTCAGCGGAGCGCCCATCAGCGCTGTTGACGGTGCACCAACTGGGAAGCTCGTGGAACTAGTGGTCCCCAAGCATGCGCCTGAATGTCCGCACCCTTCGCTCTGCGACCCAACAACAGGTGACTTCATTACAGGCGATGTCTTTCTCGAAGACGGACCCGATCGTTACGTCTCCAAGGGTCGCAATGACGATGGGATCAAGATGGAGATCTCGCTGCGCTGTGATACGCGCTCCATTGAGAACAACGCACTTAAGACGTGTGGCAAGGATCTCCTCAGCGCCGCGGTTGTCGTTGGAGCTGCCAGACCTTCACCCGCCCTTTTTGTCGAGGCCAAACGAACTGAGGGCCACGATGGATTGCAGGCTGAGATTTTGCGTCGAATTACGCCCTTCCATGAGCGCAGATATAAACACGAGCGTATCCTCGACTCGCGACTTATTGTCGTCGTGCCCAATGGTACACTACCGAGAACTGCAAAGGGTAGTATACAAAGGAAACTGGTCGAGAGAAAGTTTAAAGAAGACTTGGACAGGATTTATTCAGAAGTGTACCCTAGGAATCAAACTTGAGATGGATAAGCAACGTAGAAATTGAATTATTTGTAAGAAAGTTGATTACAGAAGCTTCGCCATATCGCCGGTACTAGGCAGTAGCTAATGCTTTCCTGCTTCTGCGCCAAATCCCAGCTGATATCTTTCCCTTAGTCGTGCTACTGTTGGCCCACGTGGTCTCTCTTCCTCATCAGGCACGCAGAATTCTTGCAGTGCCTCAATACTCCAGCCCTCTTATCTATCCTGCGAAACTTCCCCTATCGCGGACCTCTCTCGGCCAGCATTTCTATCATAATGGTCAGGATCCATAAATACCTTTTCTGAACATTCTCATCCACTTCCAATCTGACCTTCTCCCTCATGATATCTATGGGTGACTGCATTCTTCTATCACATTTAACCAACATATAAGCCCCCACATCTAGTAACAACCGGACAAAGTCCTCATCTGTGTTCCTCGCGGCTTCATGTAGAGGAGTGGTTCTGTCGTTCGCTTTGCCGTTGGCGTCTGCTCCGTATACTCGAAGAAGTGAGATACATTCCGGGTGGCTATGCCGTGCGGCCAAGTGTAGCGGCGTTCTTCCCTCCATATCAGCTGCGTTGGCGTCGGTACCGTATTCCAGCACGAGCCGTAGAGAGTCAGAGTGCCCATGAAGGGCAGCAATATGAGCCGGGCTGATGCCGGCTGCCGTCTTTTCCCTGGAACTCGCTTCCGTGAGCAGTTGTCGGAGGATTTCGACCTCTTATGGTCTATGGCACGCGGCGGCTCGGAGAACAGGAGTGATACGATGCCCGTCACGCTCTACCGGAATCGTGATGTCTGCACCATGATCTGTGAAAAGTTGTATCGCTCGCTGGCTTCTGACCTTGATGGCTAGCATCAGGGGCGTAGTATCACCAGAAGGGATAGTTGATAGGCGATTTACATTGGCAACACTCGTATTGAGTAGGGTCTTGAGGACGGCCTCGCTGTAGTCAGCTGGTCCGGTCATCCGATTAATAGCACGCAATAGCGGTGTCCAGCCGTCAGCAGCGGCAATGTTCGGATCAGCGCCTCGTTGGAGCAATGGAATAACAGCTAGGGCTGGATCATGGCCTGCTTGAACGGCATAATGGAGGGCTGCGTGCATCCTTTCTCGTCTGTTAGCCTGGAATCCGCTCCGAGATCCAACAGCAGGGATACGGGAGGAGGAAAGGGCCTCTCCAGTGAAGTGGCATTTGACCATTATTGTGTATCGCATCGGATGCGTCTGTGCACCGTGCTTAATGAGATTCTTGATCACATCTCTGCTTCCGAAGTCTACTGCAGTGTGGAAAGGAGTTGGACCATCTAATGCTTGCGCGTTCGGATTTGCTTTTCGCTCAAGCAGAAGATCTCCGATGGTGTTGGTTCCATAGAGACCGGATACGTGCGGCTTTCCAGTCGAGTAATATAGCGGCCATGATGAAAACCAATGGCTTAGCTAATCTTGTTTAATCAGTTGGCCAGCTGTTTCGTCACTGGGACCCATAAGCAAGATATGGCCTTATGAGATACTGTTTTTACCAGCAGCTCACAGTACAGTCCTAGCTTCACATTCGGCTAACCGGCACGCTGTCTTGACCAGGGTTCGAGCTAACGCCCGATTCAGGTAGGGGAGGAGGTCATGAGACAAGCATTCGCGTATCGCCTTGGCCGCAACTAGGTCATTTAGGGAAGCTGAACCTTGTCCCCCGGAATCCACCTTTACTCCTCGCACCTCCGCAAATGGCAGGTAGTTATGTAGAGTATGATAAGGAGCACAGGCGAACCACTAATGACATGAGAGCTTACGATGAAGACCGGATCCGCCGGCCCACATTTCCCCTCGTTGACAGAGCGCCATGGCGTTGGAGTAAGATTGGAACAGGCTGCTTATCGCCAAACCATCGCCGATTGGACACATTAGCTATTGATTGATGCCGTAGCAGCCGTGCGGCACACTCCATTGAGGAAGGCAGTATCGTGCCAGCAAGCGTAAGCAATGGCTCCCAGAGGGGGGCACATGATTTGCCTGGAGCTCTAAATTGGGGTAGCTTCCATCTTCTACATTTCTTTCTTTCTTCTTTCTCATCTCTCCCATTCCTACCCATTTCCGCCCTCTCCTCTCTCCTCGTCACGATGAGTCTTAAGAACGAAAACAATGGCGGCAGCGATGGCGCTGACTACAAATCGGGCACGGTTGATCCCAAGGCCGGCGGGCAGTTACCTGTCGATAACCCAGAGGCCGGGACGACCAATCCCCTCCATAAAAATCTCAAGGGCAGGCACATGCAGATGATTGCCATGTAAGGGTTTAATATCAAGTACTCAATTGTATATCAACTAATGGTCGCTTTTCTAAGTGGTGGTGCAATTGGTGCTGGCCTGTTCATCGGTTCTGGAACTGCTTTTCAGACTGGCGGACCTGCTTCTGTTTTTCTTGGTTTCCTAATTGTTGGTAAGTTGTGTACCCGACATTGGTCGTGATGCGATAGCTAACGTGTGTGTTCTTCAGGTGTCATGGTGTATGTTCCCCTTCGAAGCATCTTTCCCTGCAGTTGATGGATATTGACATAGATCATTTAGATACCTCATGATGCAGGCCCTCGCAGAAATGACTGTCCTGTATCCGATCAACGGTGCCTTCACCATGTACATCTGCCGCTTCGTTGATCCCTCCTTCGGGTGGGCGTGCGGCATCGAGTACGCCATCAGCTGGCTGACTGTCCTTCCCTTTGAGATCTCCGCTGCTTGCAACATGATCCATTTCTGGCCAGGTTCGCACGGTATCAACAACAGTGCTTGGATCGTCCCGCTACTTGTCGCCTTGGTGGTCATTCAATTCTTTGGCGTCAGGGGATACGGCGAGGTATGTTCCCACCTGTCTGAAAAGTTCCCAGCCTTGAGACATGTGGACAATGAGCTGACCGATTATTGAATTAGGTCGAATTTGTTCTCAGCTTGATGAAGATACTCGCATGCATAGGCTTTATTATCCTGGGAATAATAATCAACTGTGGCGGCGTTCCAACAGACGACAGAGGCTACATCGGTGGAAGATACTGGTAATGTCATGCATGCCTCCAAGTGGCTGGACTAGGCTAACATGTATTTTGAAACAGGAACGATCCTTACAGCGCATTCCTCAACGGCTTCCACGGCTTCTGCAGCGTCTTCGTCACTGCAGCATTCGCCTACACTGGCACCGAGCTGACAGGACTGGCTGCCGCGGAAACAACCAATCCAAGGAAGGAGATCCCCAAGGCCTCGAATCAGGTCGCATGGCGAATCGGTATCTTCTACGTCGTCAACCTTCTCATTGTTGGACTCATCGTGCCGGCAAACAGTCCCCTGTACGGCAGTGCGACTACCGCGTCGCAAGGGTCGCCTTTTGTCATTGCAATTGAGCTTGCCGGCATCAAGGTCCTGCCATCGATTTTTAACGCCGTTATCCTGATCGCCGTTATGAGTGTTGCTAACTCGTGCACCTTCGGCTCGACTCGAACGCTTCAGGCTCTCGCTGCAAATGGTGCGTGCTACGTGATGATATGAACATGTTGTTTGAGACGCTAACACAAACTCTCTGTACAGGAATGTTCCCAAAGAAAATGGCCTATGTTGACAAGAAGGGTCGTCCTATTCCCGTGGTTATTCTTCAGCTCCTCTTTGGGCTACTAGCATTCATTAACCTGGCGCATAATGGTGGCACGATCTTCAATTGGCTCCTGTCACTGTCGGGTCTTACTATCCTCTTCGTGTACGGTGGCATCGCTCTGGCTCATATCCGCTTCCGCAAGGCCTGGTAAGCAAATCTCCTCTTGTTTTCTCCCCTGCTTTGTTCCTCGATGACTAACTTCTAACAGGGCCATGAACGGTCATACCTTGGACGAGCTTCCCTACAAGGCCAATTGCGGCGTCTGGGGTTCCTGGATATGCTTGCTTGTCTGCGTGCTTGCTCTGATCGCTCAGTTCTACGTCGCGCTTTATCCCGTTGGCGGCCCTAACCTGAATGCAACAAACTTTTTCCAGCTCTACCTCGCCGGTCCGCTACTGATCTTCCTCTACTTAGTCTGGAAGGCCTACAGCTGGGTCTATGTGCCAGCACACCGCCCATTCTTCATCAGAACAAAAGACATTGATATCTACACAGGCATGAGGGAGATCAATAGTGTAGGTATCTCTGCAGAGGACAGAGACGCTAGTAATGCTGAGTTGGGAGAGGAAAAGCACAAGGGAGGTGCTGTGGCATATATTAAGAATGCTGTCCGAAATATTATTTAAACTTTACGGGAGTACCTTATTTAAGGGGTAGGCAGTAGGGGGCAAGGAGGTAGAGAAAGATTGATAGGTCTTATAAGAATATTATACAGGACCGATGGGCCATGATGAACGACGTGTTCAGTGTGACATGCACATTAACAAACTCATTTCATAGGTCTTTGGCCTACTCTCGACGGGCCCGGATACGATCTTTCCTGTCACTGTCCGTGCTTCATTTACCCGACGACTGCCTGCATGTTTGGTCTCCTACGGTCTCGCTCATCATAGATAAGATATTGCTCCTCACAGAGATGACACGCTAGAACCCCTTTCAACAGATCGCAATGTCCAAGTTAGTCTTGCAGTCAGTGTAACAAGCCTCTTAGATTCCCATTGGTAGTTTAGCTGACCGTTTCATTGTGCGAGAACTGCCGCGTTCGCAAGGTACACAGACCCCCAAGTCATGAATATATTGACGCTCGGCGCTTACCGATTCTATCATAGGTTCTTTGAGATAGGCAGTACCCGTGTTGCCAGCGCTTCAATACCATCGAGTGGGTCGATGCCGACAAGAAGCCCAGAGTGAAGTGCAACCTCATCCTTGTCACCTCACAATTGCACGTCACCCCGATGTTCCGTACTCCTTCCATCAGGTCAAACATGCCAAATAAGTCATAACTACATATTAACATCAACAGTTAATCAAAAGGTTGTTAGACCACCCTCATTTACAAAGAGTAACTGCGGTAAAGTTCGGGTTTTAAAAGAGGCTTCAGCCCCCAGGCCACAAAGGTAAAGGACACCAATAAACACATACGGGCAATATACTCGTCACCCACACAATCGCCTAAGATCTTGCTTTTTTACAAAGAGTAACGGATCTCTTGGTTCTCCCAATCAGTCTCATCAAGATCAGCCTGGCCTGCGTGTTCAAGAATGTGTCCATCTGAGACAGCCTCAGCTCCATGCTGCTGATTTCTTTGTTTATTCCATCTTGCCATTATCTGTCTCATGGAGGTAACAATGACAATGTTAAGAACATAACAGGCTACCATGATGTTAAATGCAGTCTGGGCAAAAAGATTAATATAGACTGATAGGTCATGGAGTAGATACTTAGAACTTACCTTGTAGCCAGGGGCTTCTTGCGCAATAAACGTAAGTGGCCCAATAATGTACCCAACGCAAAATCCAACAAATAGCATCCCATTGACAGTAGCTTTCTTTGTGTGCCCGGTGATATTACTGGAAACCAAACTGAGAGTTGTTGGGAAAGCACTGGCTTGTGCGCAAACCAGCCAGATGCCTGCAAGACGGGCAATCTTGTTGGACTCTGGAAGAAGCTTAACCATCAAGACCCCAGCCAAGGATATAAAATTAAGAATAGCAATAGACAGGCATCGCGCATTCTTCAGTGTCATCGAAATCCCTACAGTCAAGATGACAAAGAAGAGAAGAAACGCGCCTACCGACATAGACAGAAGTTGGGTTTGGAGCACACTGTATCCAAAGTCCTTTATGATAACGCTTCCAAACTGTGATTGAACTGTTTAGTAGCGGTTCCAATTAGACATATGGGTAGACAAGGCCTTGGGCATTGTGCATCACTTACGGCAGTCAAACCACCACCTGGAATGGTTGAAAACACACAGAGGAGAAAAAACAACCAAGACCTCGGGTCTATGAAGGCTTCCCTCATCTGTGCATAGTTCCATTTGCCTGTTTGTGTAGAATGCCTCGCTCCCTGTACTCTTGCAAAAGCTAGTTTCCTTTCGTGTTCATTAAGGAACCAAGCACTTTGGGGAGTAGTAGGCAGTAGCCACCAAACAACCAAGCCCCAAATAAAGGTTGCTGCTCCGAAGATGATAAATAGGAACTGGGGGAGTGATTAGCTCTTGAACCACACATTACCTCTTGTCTGAATCATGCGCTCACATACCTGCCAACTTTTGATTGCACTGTCGATATGGGAGATGCCATACGCCATGATACCGCCTATTATGTATGCCACACTAGCTCCGCCATACCAGAGACCGTGACGCAAGGCATGTTCAGAGGGTTTGTACCAAGTGGACGTGATGATTGTAAAGCCTGGGCCAATAGCAGCCTCAAAAGCACCGAGTAGGATACGCAAAACAGCCAGACTGGCAAAGCTCTTGCCAGCAGCCATAACCATCTGGATGCCTGCCCAAATGAGCCTAGTTCAACACATCAACACAAGTACATAAGGGTGTTGTAGGGGCTATGAGGGAAGAAACATACACAGTCAAGACAACGACTTTAGCCACTGGGAATTTGACCAGGAGAATTGAAGAAAGAGGACTAGCAATGAGGAATCCCACATAAAAGAAGCTAGAGACCCAGGAGTATTGATTGCCACTAAGGTTCTAGGACATTGTTATTATCGTTCATGTTTCTTGTTGATATAGATGACAGGTTGACTTACTGCATCCTGCAAGATACCCATGATTGCAGTGTAGCCAAGGGACGTCTTGTCAAGATACTGAAAAAGGTATAGAACGAACATTAAGGGCATCAAACTGTGGCACTCTTAGATCAACGTATAATCAGAAACAGTGAGTGACTTACTGCAGGTCAATCTTTCGAACCAGCTTTCGCTCCTCGGCCGGGGTCATTGTCAAGGTTGAGTTTGCTTCTCCGACACTGGCACTAGAATGTTTGTTCGAAAGCTCTATTGAGGCTTTATCCTGGCTAGGACAGCTGCGGTTTTCCTTTAAACTCATGGTGTTGTGCATGACTGGTAGTGTTGTAGTTCAATGGGGTCTTAAATTGTGATGATTCAAGAAATTCCGTAGAGGTTGTGTTGCTCTTTATATACCACTCTGTCAAGCCACAAAGATAACGAGTAGAAACGAGCGACCCTTGAGATGAACGTGTGCAAGGCGGATCCCGTCCTCACCAACTATCTCGGCTATCGACCCCTCCAGCTATGGGTCCAAGACTCTAAACCCAATTGCCCAGAAATGTGGCTCCGTGTACATGTACCCAGATCTTGAGCAATCCGATTGGCTGGGTACAGGTACCCGACTAAATTCCAGCTACTTCCCCAGATTCTTAGCCCCTTGACCTAAACGGGTACAAGTACCCGAACCGAAATCAGTCTCCCCAGCTTTCTTCTCCCATTCCTAGGCTTTGAAAAATGTATTTAGAAAGAGGAAATACCCTCGCCGATACGAATCATGGTGAAAAGGTTGGCACCTTATCTTATTACAACGTTACAAACTAGCTTACTGCGTCATGGCCAAAATCCCTATGATCCCCGATCACATAATCATTCCTTGGATTCCTCCTCCGCGACCAAGATACATTCTCACCGGGGCCAATATCATTGACCCTGTTCAAGGCACTGTGCTAGAGAACGCAACGATCCATCTCTGCGATGGTATCATCAAATCTATCAATGGCGATGCAACTGAATGGAGCGACGATCCGTCTGTTTTGGAAATGGACTTGGGCGGAAAGTATGTTTGTCCCGGCCTGATAGACTGTCATGTGCATCTCGCAGCAGTTCCTGGAAAGAAGGGTCTGGAGGATTTGAAGAATTGGAACCTTTCAGCCTCGCTCCTACGCCAGCCACAAGTCTGCAAATCTATGTTGGAGAGGGGATTTACAACCGTGAGAGATTGCGGTGGTGCTTTAGCTCCCTTGAAAAAAGCGATTGAGGACTATGTTCTTCCAGGCCCAAGGCTATTCATCGCTGGACACGCATTATCGCAAACAGGCGGTCATGCAGACGTCCGCGAACAGCTAAACGAACATGAGTGCTGCGGCGGAACTATCCAAGGGATCGGGCGAGTCATTGATGGCGTGCCAGACTGTTTGAAGTATACCCGGGAGGAGCTTCGCCAAGGATCCGACTTTATCAAGATCATGGGCGGTGGTGGTGTGGCTAGTCCAACAGATAAGATCGAGCACATCCAGTTCTCAGATCAGGAGATCAAGGCTATTGTGACGGTTGCGTCTAACGCAGGCACATACGTGGCTTCTCATGCCTACACACCTCAAGCGATCCGACAAGCAGTCAATCAGGGAGTTCTGGGTATAGAGCATGGAAATCTCATCGATAAAGAAACCGCTGAACTCATGGCTGCCAAAGGAGTCTTTCTGACCCCGACCTTGGTTGCTTACGCAACTATGGAGCAATTTGAAGGCTTTCTGCCACCTGCTTCAGCCAAGAAGAACAGAGAGGTACTGGAAAAAGGATTGGAAGCCATTAAAATTGCAATGGAAGCTGGAGTAACGATATGTTTCGGAAGTGACCTCCTCGGGCAGTTACATTTTGCGCAATCCCGCGAATTCGGGCTCCGGTCGCAAGTCCAAAGTTCGCTTGAAGTTCTGCAAAGTGCGACCATCAACGCTGCTCGAATGCTTAGGCAGGAAGGGTTCTTGGGCCAGGTCGCCCCAGGATTTGCTGCCGACCTGTTGATCTTGAACGTGAATCCATTGGAGGATATTACCGTTCTGGATACACCTGAGAAGCACGTACTGGCAACATTCAAGGATGGACGAGTCTTCGCGTCAAGGTGGTCAGAACTGGAAACCTACTTCAGCCGAACAGTAAATATTGCTTAGCTTGTAGACTCAATCAAGAGACGTATTACATTCTATCATGAAACCAACAATAGATCATTCCTGCCAAGTTGAAGTCAGCATATGTTGGCTGTCAAACTGAATATGTGATATGCATAATGCAAGCCTATGGAGAAACGCCTCGCGTTGATTTGCTGACACAGCACTTAGTACGCATTGTTCCCCCACATTATAAGCTTCTATTGACTCTGGGAGATCTCAAGAAATTTATCTCTTAGCCTTATCGGATTCAGCCCCTTAAAATACTTGAAAATTAGTGTTTTTTGCCTTGGCTGGTAGATGTTGTTCACGTGATTGTCTTTAGTTTCAGTAACCCCTCCTTTAAAGTCAAACCTCGTCATCCACTTTTCTTCCCGAGCGCTGCGATTTGTCGTCTGATAATTGAAAAACTTTTGATATTGTACCTGAATCCTCACAATCATCGAGCTTGCTGTGTCTATAATGCCCCCTCCGCCGCAACCAGGCCCATCGAAGAGACACCGCCCGCACGTCCCTTTAGAAAAGCGAAAAAGAGCGGTACGCGCATGTCTTTCTTGTAGAGGCAGTAAGAAGAAGTGCGTCTTGACCTCGGTAGATCAATGCGAAGAGTGCACTCGGTTCGGCCTTGCATGCACCTTTGAGCCGGTTCTCAAGGATCGTGGCAACCAACCATGTGATGTTCCATCGAGACTGTATAGGTAAGTGAGACTCGCTCTCATCCTACTTCTTCATTCACCATTTTCATACAATCTCAAAAGTTCCATGTACTGATTTCTTGATTTAAAGCTCGTCAGTATGGGATACGGTGACAACAGACGTCTCCCGATGTTTACAAGATAGATTTCCTGACATCAAGCTCAATTCTGAACAGCTGTCAATTGTTTCAAATCTCTTCAATGAAGCTGTTTGGAAGAGGGGTCCACTTCTTTTTCTTCAAAATGATAGTTCTCTTGGACCATTATCTATGGCGTCGAAGCCAATTCCTCCGCCCAGAGTGGTCACGGAGCCTGAAGCGAACAACTTGCCAGCGACAGTAGAGAACGGTATGTTTAATGTTGATTTGGCAAGTACTAGCTCATGTCTTATTCTCTCTGGTAGATCATACGTCTTCGGTTTCCCACGCTAGCTTCCTAGCTGCAGTCTCAGAGACTATCCCCCCAGTCTCTTCAAAGGATCACTACGTGCGTAATACAAGCCACGACAGCCTCATTCGTTTTGGCATGTTCTAACCAAGCATACACAGGATCGGTTACATGTCAACCCCCTTGCTCAGCAAGAGGATGCATATTCCATCAGTAATATGCTCGACCAGCTTCCTCCCCGCGAGGTTTCTGAAGATCTTGTTGATTTATTTTTTACATTTCTCGAGACTAACTGGTACTACTTCGACAAGAAGAGGTTTCGAGACATCTTTACCGAACTGTATGCTGATAGACCTTCCACGCAGCAACTTCGCTGTGCCAATGTCTGTCATGTTCTTCTCGTCTTGGCTTTGGCGAGTACCTTCAAGCATTTGGTCGAACCATTCCACTTTATGGATGCAGACCGAGATGTTCCAGGTGGCAAGCTCTTTGCAAATGCTACCAGGCTAATACCCAGAGTAATTGCAGATAACTCTGTCGAGAGCGTGATATGCTCCCTCTTGGCATCGCTATACCTGCTTTCGACTGACGATATTGAGCACCACCATATCTATCTGGGATTGGCCCTGAATCAAGCACTTGGCCTCTCGATGCACCGCGAAGGGGGGAATAGCGAGGAAACTCCTCAAGCTCGGGAGGTCAAAGTCCGGGTCTTTTGGACTATATACACTATGGAACGGTATGACAGTCGTTAATGTTTTATTTATTCATGACAGCTGACAGTTCATATAGTCTAATATCTGGTATCATGGGTCTTCCAACGATGCTGCAAGTCAAGGACATCAGTGTTTCGCTGCCACAGAAGCGACAAGATCTAGATGGGGATGACTGTCAGGCTGTCGATCGCCTCATTGCAATAACTAAGCTGACCATGGGGATGGATGAGATTATCAGTGAAGCGTATGGAACAATCTATTCTTTCCATGTTAGAGATATCACAGTAGCTGACGAGCCCCAGACCCATTGACAAGAGTGAGAGTACATATAAATGGGCCTTATTTAAAATGGAATCTCTCAGGCCGCCTGTTCCAATTGATATCTCCAAGTCCCCAGGACCGTTGTTCCGAGCCGATGCCCATCTACAGATAATCTATCTCCTGATTTGGGTAAACGTTGGCCGCGGTGCCACGTTACGTCTTGTTCGCCAAACACTTCAGCCTCCATCTGTCTCAATGGCTTTGGGAGACCAAGAAGCATATCTCAGATCGCAAAGACTGGTGGAAAAGTGCAGAGAGGCAGCCACAATGATCATTAGCTGGATTACTCAGTTGCATCACCGTGGCCTACTCGCCAAGTATTCGTTTACAGATTTTCATACATGCAGCTCTGCCACTATTGTACTTTTGTTACACTCTCTCCTTTATCCCACTTCTGATTCATTACCAATAACACAAGGCATAAATGCTCTGAAGTTTATGGCTGAGGGCAGTAGGTTGGCCATGAACGCACTGCGACTTATCGAACGCCTACAGGAGGCTATTCAGAAGTCTAGTAGTGTTGAGGTCTCAGGCTCTACCATGAACCAACCTTCGCTATCAGGGATGGTGGTGGATCTGGACCTATCTCAGATTCAGCCTTTGGGCAGTGCTGGAAATCTTCCCCTCGCTTCTACCAGTAACTTCGAATCTTCTATTTTACCCACCACTCAAACCCTGTTTCCGGATTTGGAACCATGGCTGCTAGAGTATTCCGACCAGGACCTAATGCTGTTCGGATTCGATGGTTTTGGTTCAGTGTTTAATGCACATGTTTCTCAGACATGAGCTCAAGAAAGGACAGTGTATTCGTTACATTATGTAGTGTCTAATTGAGTGGATTTCTCTAGCTATTAATAGCTCCAGTTAAGAGCCTGGCAAGCGTTTTCTTTCCAAGTTGACTTGCTCATCGAGCATGTTTATGGTGACTTATACTTTTGAATGCTGGCGAGGTGTTTTACAGACTTGACACTTCTTACTTGGCGCTGCCTGACGCGATAGCTGTTAGTTGTAAACACATAGCTATAGAGCGTGCAGATGATGGCACGCTCTGTAAACTGAGGTGAAAATGAAGTTTCTTAAAGGCGGAGTATTGATCTTCGCGTAGTGGGATTGCCTAATAAGTTGGACGGCATCTGCCAATTTATTACATGACCATATAGTATAGGTTAGTTGGTTTCATTAGTTGACATGGGCTAAATGGGAAATGGGAGACGAAAAGTGGTTTTGATGGATTTAGCAAGGGTGGCACGGTCCCACGCGTTCTTTCCGGAAACGCGTCACACGTCACCGATATCAATATCAGATCATGCATACTTTATATCGCAGCCAAAATCCAAGCCCCTACCATTCAAAACCAGTGAGAATTCACTCATCGGCACCGTCCCCATGCTCTAACCCAACTTCTGGAACACCAGATTCATCAAGTCCTTTGCCCTTCTGGCCTCTGGCGATCACTCGCTCCATCGCACCCAGGTGTCCTTGAATCTCATTAATGTACCCTCGATGTCTGAAATATCAATATAGTCGGTCTAACCGGTCGTGCTCAGCCATGTTCCGAAACCATAGAGGAATGTGCTGAGAACCGCCGTTGCAACGAGGGTCTCTGCGCATCGCTTCTTAGAAGGTGTTGAACTAAACCACGGTGCCAAAGACCTACAAAAGTGTAAGGTCCCTACACTAGGGGCCTAAGGCAACAGGGCTTATATTTTGTACAACAGAAGGGGACATGAGGCCTCGAGAAACGTTCACATCAATCAGCCAAGTGACGGTGAGACTCAGCTTATACCTGGCCAGTGTACATGATACTGGAGTCAATTTCGAGTTTAGGCGTGACTCCGGAAGACCAGTACAGCTCGGATCGAGGCCACTGTCTTGCAGCTTCAGGGTGGTTTGGTGTCCTATAACCCTTCAGCCTTGGTAAACCACTGAGCATAGACATTGAGGAATCGAAAATATGAATTGCGGCCCAGATCCGCCGGTGCATCTCGCCTTCAACACAAGATATCTTAAGGAAGTGGCACGGCTCTTGGTGGTAGTCCATGGGAAGTGCAATCCCTGCCCGCAACCCTGTTTGTCAGAAGCGCTGGATATCCTTGGCACTGAAGATAAGTGTTAGAAAATTATTAAAGGTTGGCCCAGAATCACCGACGACAACCAATCAAATAACCGCCGGCGTACAGCGCGCTTGAACTAACGTTTCAGGAAGCCAGTAGTCAGCCAAGTCATAAAACCTGTAACCACATTCCCTATTAACAAACGCCACAGCGTATCAGCGTAGTCCTCCATTCATTACAAACTATTCTAGATCCACTCGGCGGCATATTGTAGACAAACTGACACACAGGTAATTAAAGAAGATCTTATATAATTATCTTCCACGTCTGTCCTGGTTATAGTTTTATTTTTCCACAGCTCAGTTATACTTTCTTTCACAGAGGGCTCGGGTTTCTTATATTCATTCATTATCTGTCGCTCCTTTCAATTCCTTGTTCTTGCTACTATCTTAAACTTCATCTATCAGAATGCGTATCTTTTCTTCATGCGTTGCTGCGACCTTGGCCCTGGTGGCCAGTCCAGCCTCTGCCTTCTTCAGGCTGCCCTGCAGTCGCCCCGTAACGCTCCAGCGGGTTGATCCCATCGTCAATCCGGGAACGCTGTCAGCCCACGCACACACTGTCATGGGAGGGAACGGGTTCAACTTCACCATGAATTACGATACGGCCAGAGCCTCGACCTGCACTACTTGCAAGGCCCGAGAAGATCTGAGCAACTATTGGATTCCCAACCTCTACTATCGCGCCCCTGATGGCACCTTCGAAGATGTCCCTCAGACAGGTGGCATGTTGGTGTATTACCTACAGCGATCGGATCCCAAGGATCCAGAATACGAGAAGGGCTTGCTTGCGTTCCCCGAGGGCTTCCAGATGTTGGCGGGTAACCCGCATTTGCGAAGTTTCAAAAACACGCTCGAACAAAGGGCCATCTCTTACGCCTGCCTTGGAGTAAGCGGACCCGAGACCCATGAGATCCCTCCCCATAATTGCCCCAATGGATTGCGCGCTCAAGTAATGTTCCCCTCCTGCTGGGATGGCAAGAATCTGGATTCGCCTGACCACAAAAGCCATATGGCGTATCCGGATCGGGTTGATAGTGGTGTTTGCCCACGTTCGCACCCAAAGCGCCTCGTCACGATATTTTACGAGGTAGTCTTTCAGGTCGACCAGTTCAATGACAGGTGGCATGGGAGCTCGCATCCTTTTGTCTTTTCCAATGGCGATCCGACCGGCTACGGCCTGCATGGCGACTTTCTCAACGGTTGGGACGTTAAGGTCCTGCAGAAGGCAGTCAAAGAGTGCACTGATGCTTCTGGAGTCATTGAGAAGTGCCCTGCCCTTACATTCTTCGACGATGATGCCATGAACGGATGTCGCGTGCCAGTCCAGGTCGATGAGAAGACTAATGGTGTCCTCAAATCACTCCCCGGTTGCAACCCTGTTACGTTCGGCCCGGAGCCTGCTACGCCAGTTGTTGGTGAAGCGTGCAATGCCACTAAGAAGATCAGCCCACCGAAGTGGCCATTCACCGACGTTACCAACACCAAGAAGTTCCGCTACCTGGGATGTGCCAAGGACACTTACGGTTCCCGCAGCCTTAACATGGCCCAAACGAGTGCCGATAACATGACGATTGAGTCGTGTCTTGACTACTGCGAGCATCAGGGCTACTTGTTCGCCGGCCTCGAATACGGCCGAGAGTGTTACTGCGGGAATGCTGTTGATAAGAATAAGCTTCCTGTTAAGGGACAGCTGGGTAAATGCGAGATGCCTTGTGCAGGTAACAAGGAACAGGTCTGTGGAGGTCCAGGCGCCCTTTCACTCTATCAAAAGTGCAAAGCATCAGAGGGTTTGTGCAAAAATGCCGAGATTATGTAAATGGTTTTGTTTTCAATCTGTCATGGTTGCTGGCTGGCAGAAGCGCATTGATAGTGACTCTCCAGCTTGTATAGATTCTTTTCACCTTCGGCCTCAACGGCCACTTGGTTATTAACTAACTACACTTATTTTAACCCTTTTTCCAATACTATACTACTTCTATATGCTTATAATCTCAACTCACTAGCATCGCACTTAGGAGCTCAATCATCAGACGAAACAAATAAATAGCCCTGGCGGTATTTTCCGCCACTAACTATCCCACTAAATAAACCAGACGCTAAACCTGCGTAGCGTGCCGTGTAGTCATTGGGCACGAGATGAACAGTTTCCCCGCGTTTCCCCGCGTTTTAAGGAGTGGACCGCATTTTACCTACAATTTCGGATATTGCCTGCTTTACGTTACCCAAGCTTCTTCCTCGACCCGTATATTCATCAAGCAATCATGGATAAGACGCTGAGACGCCGAGCCCACGGGCAAAGATCGCGCACTGGATGGTATTGCCCTGCTTCTGATAGAAACGAAGTTGCTCGCTTGCTTACCTTTTATCTGCTACTTTTAGTCTACCGTGCCGCATCCAGAAGATCAAGTGCGACGAAACTCAACCCTGCTGTCAACAGTGTTACAAGCGTAATCGCGTATGCAATATCTCAAGCTCCCGATTCCGCGTCTATACTCGCAGCTCTGATCCTGATCTTGTGGCGGCCCCGACGCGGTCGAAGCCATCAGAACCTGGCCCTGTTGATACGAGTTGCCACGATGCCGTCGACGAGAGTATCAACGCCCATGAGAGAGATTGGCATTTGTTTATTGGTGAGCATAGCAGATCTCAAGATATAGACGTGAGCGACGAAACAACCAGTGTCCCCAGCCCCATCTCAAATACTGTCTATGACTCGGGTCGCATCCTGGTTCAGCTGGCGAACTTACCCACGGTCCATCTCAATGAAGCCCAAAATCACCTGACGACTGTAGCCGCCACGCCCGGCACGTCGGGCGAAATGAGCTCACCTTTACCAAATAGCATTGCAGTGCAGCCAGAAGTGCCTCGACGAGAGTCAATCATCCCCGAGGCATTCGATTTCGTCGTTTCGCCGTCTCCTTTTGGAACAGATGAGAGTCTACCGCATTTGCCCGCAATGGTCGCGGCGCATGCTCTCACGCCATCTAAGGACTGTCAGAGTACAGGAAGCTTGGCTTCGACGGAATCGATAGACCGGAAATCGGAGATCGTGGAAACCGACCCTGAGCTGTCCTTTTTCTTGCGGCAATTTGCAGACACAATGGGAAACTGGTAAGCAACCCCGAAAACTCATGACAGTCGCCTTGCATTGTAACCATCTTCTTATAGGATGGATCTGTTCGACATGGATCGACATTACCATCGAGTTATACCAATGCTCGCATGGAGTAGTCCACTGCTTCTTTATTCTGCCTGTGCCGTGGCAGCCAAGCAGCTCACCTTAGTTAAACCCTCTCCACAGGAGCCTCGGTTCTATTTTCAACCCTGGCAGACCAGCTTCCAAAAGGACTTTGCATGGTATAGCACCAAGTACTACGACCGTGCCATTTCGCTACTACTAGGGTATGTTTCCGACCTCAGTTCAGGAGATTCTGGGCAAGAAAACGCAATACAACAGAGCAAGCGTGGTCGCACCCCCAAGCCATGCGGAAATGAGATCATCATAGCAGCCACCATATTATCAGTTTACGAGTTCCTCACCGCTAGTGACCAGACATGGTCTGAACACCTTGATGGTATCCGATCCTTTATTGGTCTGTCGGAGGAACTGGGCTTTAATTTTCAGCCCACATCAGCAGGCCCAGTTCTTGATCCTCTACTACCAAGTCTGCTACGTGCTGCTTGTTGGAATTTTGCCAGGCAAGATTTCCTCGCAGCTTGTAAGCTTCTTTCTTATCTTGTCATTCTTAAACCTCATTGCTTCCCAACTAAAGCATAGCTAACATGGCTAGTGATCAATGGTCACAAAACTCGTCTCGATACGGAAAATCCAGTGATCTGGCGACAAATGGGTCTAAGCGTGACTGGAAATGGGAAACCAATAGCCCACATGGATTCGCATTCCTCAGAGGATGCCCATTCGGAGTCTCTACGGCCTGATATAATATCCAACACGCTTGTATGGCTTCTCTCAAAACTAGCCAACTACGTTGCTACCCCGACCGATTCGAAACAGCAACCTACATCAATACAGGGCCTAGAGGCTACATGGCTCTCATTAAAACAAGAATTTGAAACATGGCACCAAGGTCTGCCCTCAAGCTTTCGGCCATCATACCGAGTGCGACGCACGCCTCATTACAATGTTGAGAGAAGTCAAAGATGCAGGCATCAGACTGAATCGTTGATCTGTTATGAGACATGGTACAGTAGCAGTATGTGTGCCTCTAGCATGCAATCTTACCACATGAGTCAGATTCTTCTCTTGATTCACAAGCCTGAAGGGCTAGTAACCCCTTTCTCACAACCCTCTTCCTCGGGAGGCCCTCTCGATGCCTTGACGAGGTTTAATCAGATGAACCGGGTACTGCAATATCATGCTGCAGAGATTTGTGCTATCGCATTGTCCAGACCGGAAGCAGCTGCGAGAATCCATATGCTGCAACCTGTTTACCTCGCAGGTCGTTGTCTACACACCAAAGCTGACCGTGCCATTGTTCTTGGGCTTCTTGAGTCCATTGAGATCGAGTTGGGGTGGAGCTCAAGATACCGGGTGGATGATTTACTCAGAGAATGGGGCATGGACCGGAACGAGATCATGGACTGCTGTAATTGATCTTCTCAAAGTTCGGATACTGGTAGTGGGATTCGAAGATACGTATCACATCTCTCTGCATCTTCCTAGTGACACCACAGCTACATAGACTAGATTTACTTGGTTTCAGGTCTGTTCTTATCTACATTTTGTCGTATTGTTATTCTTCTTACATTATCTACTTGCCGGATCACGCCAGCTTGTCATTTAACAAACGCCATACAGACGACATCGCACCCTTGTCCACAACTAATGAAAGACCAGCAAACGCCGGTAGCAATGCCCACAAGCGGGAAATCCCACCGCCGCTCTTGAGGTCAGAAACAAACCGAAAGTCTCCCCAACGAATGAAGATACTTCTGAGCCAAAAGTGCCACTGCCATTCAGGATAGATCAACAGATTCTTTCCTGTCTTTGGCTCGACATACCAGTTGCTGCAGCCCGATGACCAGACTAAGCTCTTGCACTTGGACTGAATCCATGAGTTCTCTTCGTCTTCGGCCTGCTGTTTGACTTGTACAGCCTCCACTCTTTGCGAGGGCCAAAGGGATATTTTTGGCGGGTGCAGAGAACGAAGAACGGAATCGATGACGCGGAGAGTAAAGTTTATCTGGCACTCGGTCGACCATGTAACTGACAGATGACCGGTGAGTGTGTTGGGCCCCATCATGATGAACATGTTTGGGAATCCGGCGATGCAAGTACCGTAGTAGGCTTGGGGGAGTCCATCGTTATGGTTGTTCCACTGTTCAAATCAGTCAGTCACTCATTTTATCTACATGTGAAAGATGAGTGCCTACATGATCTTCAACGGATTTTCCTTCTAGACCGATAATCTCCATCGGAGCGAGCAGCTTTGTCGTCTCAAACCCAGTGGCCAGCACAATGGCGTCAGCTGGAAGCTCCTTGCCCGAGCGAAGAAGGACGCTATGTCGCCCGATGCTCTCAACAGGGTCGTCCGAGATGAGATGGAGGTTAGGCCTATGCAGCGCCTCGAGGTATCCCGTGTCAAACACGCGACGTTTGCAACCAACTTCGAACTTGGGAACCAACGCATCGACATACTCGGCCGGTGCATTCTCTTTGATGTACTTTCTAGACGCATCACTCAACTTCTGACGCGCATCTTTGCCCGTTGCAGTATTGAACATGAGCCACTCGGCCTCGAGCTGGGCGTAGATGATGGTGCGGAGTAACATCATGGCACCAGGTACCCAGCGCATTATGAAGCGGAACAGGGTCGAATATTCTGGATTGGGACGCTCGAGCAACCAGTGCGGTTGTCGCGCAAACTGGGTGACGCTCTTGGCAGTCTGCGCAATGACGGGCACGAACTGCGTGGCGCTGCAACCGTTCCCAAGCACCACGACATTCTTACCGGCGTGGTCGAAGCTATGGTCCCACGTGGCAGAGTGGAAGATGTTGCCCTCAAAGTTCTCGTGACCAGGAACCTCACATTTCTTCGGGATGCTGAGGGCACCGACAGCTGAGATGAGGATGTTGGCTCGTCGCTGAGTGACTTTGTTTGTACGGTGGTTGAGGATCGTAACGAGCCAGGTGCTGGACTCGGACTGCCACTCGGCTTTGGTGACGCTGTGCTGGAGACGTATGTGGGGGTCGATGTCGTGCTGGCGAGAGACGTCTTTGAAGTAGGCCAGAATCTCAGGCTGCATAGTGAACTTGCGCGTCCAATGCGGGTTCAGGCCAAAGGAGTATGAGTAGAAGTGGGATGGGACATCAACTCCACAGCCGGGATATGTGTTCACGGCCCAGGTTCCTCCAACTTCAGTGCCTTTCTCGTAGATCTCGAAACTGGCATGTTTATACTTTTTTTGCAGTTGGATGGCGAATCCAATGCCAGACATGCCAGCGCCAATAATGAGAACGTCGGTATCAGCAGCAGCCATTGTCATGAGAGCAGGGGCGACAGGTGAATAGAGAAGATGAGATGTTAGCTGAGAAAACAAGATCTTGCAGGCGGGAAAACAGATATGTCCAGTATTGTTTCTCTTTCTGCTGGAAACTAATCTTCTCTGGCGTTGAGCTTGCTAGTACCAGAGAAGGATGAGGATAATAAAGCCTCCATGAGTGCTGGAGAAGGTATTGCACTGATTGACCTTGCCTTATTTTTTGGAAGCACGCCAGAATTGCCCTTTTCAGATAACTAGTGAGCTTACCCAAGGTTTAGCACACTACCGCCATTTCCAGCGATGCATGATATGATACAAGCGCCGATCAAACGCTTAAATTTCCAAATCGGGAGATTTTATCCTCAGCAACACATCATGTCTTTGAACGTCTCTTTACCATGCTATCTCAGTCGGCTCCGCAATCTAGGTCTAGCTAGATACATACCGCATTATCGTCCGGAACCTAGGAGGGGAGCCACTTTTGCTCAAGACGCGGGGAACCAGTCGGGAAGGTTCCTACTCCTCTTTCAAACTAGCTTTGTCTTCTTCATCCCTCTCAGGCCTCAGGGACCCTTGACTAACTATCTCGGTAAAGGTTCAGCGCAAGCTCCGAGTGAAGTTGATAGACAAAGGAGCTGGAAGACACCAACTGGGTATTCGGCATCTCTCTTAACTGAGACATGGCAAGTACTCCCAATGAAAGAAACAGAACAATCAAGACAAGAGCGAAAGGTGAAATCCTCTCCCTGCGGGAGTGTAGGAATGGCATTGCATATGCTGACCTTTCGTATAACACGTCTCTAATAATCCGAAAAAGACTAGTACCAGGTTGATTCAAGTTATCTCCAACAGTATTTCCTACAGACATTGATAACCCAGCTCAGACATGCCTCTTTTGTGAAAGGATCTCCCAAACCTCATCGACGCCCTTCTTCAAGCCGCTGACGGTGTGTCCCGAGCCAGAGGGCCCAACATCATTGAGAACATGGACCTCTCTTGTTTGGCCTTTTCCAACCTCCAAAACCGTTCCTCCAACATATTCATCCTTCTCAACCAGACTGAGCATTGCCAACGCAACATCCTCAGGCTCTACCCATTCGTCCTTTGCGCCATCGATCCACGCCAGCTTCTCCGGATGCTCTGTCCACAGTGGTGTTTTGATTACTCCCGGTGCAACTGCTGTCACACGGATGCTAGCCAGGTCGGTGCTTTCGGGAGGTGTCTCAAGACCTCCGAGCGACCGGACGAAATGGGATATTCCAGCCTTGGCTGCACAGTACATGGGTACCGACAAGACTGGGCCTTGTGCTGCGATAGACGAGATGTGCACTATAGATCCTGGCTTCTTGTTCTCTGTGAAATGCGCAATGGCCTGTTGGGTCGCGTAGATGGGGTGCGTCAAGTTGATGTCAAGGCTTGTGAACCGACTTGCGCTGTGCACGTCTTTTGATAACGCTGTGCCAGCTGGGTGCCAGAAGTTGGAAAACGGCTAGAAAATGTCAAGACTTGTGCTCGAACATAGACTTGATATCATAGACTTGAGGAATACTTACCGGGTCGTAGACGCCAGCACCAGGGCACACGATGTCATACCCTCCAAATTCCTTCTTAGCAACCTCAAATGCGTGATCGAGTTGATCCCATTTTGTGACATCGGTGGGCTGGTACAAAGCCTGAGAAGGGAATGCCTTCAGTAACTCGCTCGCCTCAGGCCGTAGAGCAAGGTCGGCCATGACAACATTGCATCCCCGTTCGAGGAGGACTTTGGAGAAATGATAGCATATTCCTGAGCCTGCTCCTGTGACAACAGCGGTTTTGCCTTTGACTATGAGTGACATTGTCCTTTTGTGATGTATGATTTTCGTCTAAGGTAAAAGAAGCTCGATGAATGACGGACGGTTGAAAGCAAGCTTGTGTAGATGATGCAAAAACGGGTTCGACTCTAGTCAAGTGAACTGAATGAACAGCAAGTCAGTGTTTGACTTTAAGCGACCTGAGTGGAATACCTCGCTTCGGGTCTATACCCCACATAGAGAGTGTTGGCAGCTCATGATATGACTCGGTATCTAAAGCATGCTTCCCCACGATACGTACTAACCCCGCGGGGTATTCACGTGTCATGCATATCTAAACATTAGTTCGAGGACCTGGAGGTCGGGCAGATGGAAATACGAGCAAAGGTTGCACCCAGCGCTTAAATTTCCACTTTAAGTATCGCACCAGCGTTCTTGTAACCGAACCCCGCAAAGATCCTCGATTCACCGCAAATTTTACTCAGTCAAGTCTAGTTTGTTCGCTGAGCACCAGTCCACAAACGGAAAAATAAGAGTGCCGACTCGGCTAGCGTTACCCCGGAATTCATCAGTCGGCCCCAGATTTCAAGGAGTCAGCATGCGGAGAAACAAACAGGCTTCCAAGCTTCTAACCAGTGTGAGATCTTGATTCGCCAATCAAGATGCTGATCATGTATCAAGGCCCGCAGTCCACTTTGTGTTAAGTGAATTGAAGTGGCTCTTGGCATTCAAGTACAAAAGGCGATCAGCAACCCATTTCCAGGCCACAGGTCTTGCAACACATGGTCGTGATCTTGTAAACCGTCCATAAGCATTTGCTAGCAACCTCATCAATCAAGCACAGTTTACCAGTCCTTGGTGACTGAGAGTACATCATGGGCCGAAAGTACCTTGGCGGCTCTGGAGAGAGCCTGACGGTTTGGATCAGTCTCGCAGCATCAACTGTGCTAGTCTTCTATGGCTACGATCAGGTATGAGAAGCAAGCAGACAATCCTGTAAGATGACTTCTGCTAACAAGACCGAACTCATCAGGGCGTTTTTGGTAACATTCTTGTCTCCAAAGATTTCATCGAGACCGTGGGCCATCCTTCTGTCGAGGCACAAGGAACCATGACATCTGTATACAACCTTGGCTGTTTTGGTGGCGCGCTCTCAACGCTATACACAGGTGATAAGCTTGGGCGACCCAAGTCACTCATTGTTGGAAGTTTGATCATTGCCCTCGGTGCTATTATTCAGGCGACTGTTTTTGGTCCAACACAGATGTATGTTGGTCGCGTCGTAGCAGGTAAGACCTCGGCTCCCATGTTGTCCCTTTATCAATGAAGGTTGCTAATACACATGCTTCAGGTATCGGAACTGGCATCAACACTTCGACTGCTGGCGTATGGCAGTCAGAAACAGCAAAGACTGCCAGCCGTGGCAAACTGATAATTATTCAGATGGCCAACTGTATCACAGGCTTTTCCATCTCTAATTGGTTGACACTCGGCTTCTCATTCGTACCAGGAAGCGCCAGCTGGAGATTCCCTCTCGCATTTCAGATATGTGAGTTCCGTTCTAACTGTCCTTATACACTAAATCCTCTATTGCTAATTTGCATTCCAAGTCTTCTCTGCCCTCGTCTGTCTTATGTGTCCCTTTCTCCCCGACTCTCCCCGTCTGCTCATGCGCAAGGAGAAACATGAAGAGGCTCTTGAGGTCCTGGCCGCGCTTGAAGGGCACGGTGCAACTGTGGACTCACCCTCAGTACGAACACAATATGCCATCATCAAGGATATCATGGACAAGGAACATGGTGATGAGTGTACATGGTGGCAGCTCATCACCGGGCGTGGTCCATCAGGTGCAGTAAGGAGAATGATTCTCGGCGCATGGATGCAATGCATGAACCAGGTTAGTTCCATTGTTCCCAATCTCCATTACTCAATGGTACGGAGAGGGTTGACCTAAAGTACTAGATCTCGGGCATCAACGTAACTAGTTACTACATGACATACGTCTTCATCAACGCCCTCGGCCTCAGCGAATTCATGGCCCGGGTTCTAGCTGCTGCTGGCTCGATCGACTACCTCGTCTTCTCTTTTCTCGCCTGGTTTGTCATTGAGCGTTACGGTAGACGTCAGGTCATGATGGTGTCTGCTGCCGCCTGTGCTCTCTGCTGGACCATCATCTCGATCGCCGCCTCCCAGATCGAACTCGGCAAGGGCAACCGATTCTCGTGGGGTTGCGCCGCCATCTTCGGTTTCTTTGCCTTCTTTGCGGCGTTCGGTATGGGCGTCTTGGCCGTTCCATGGCTCTATCCTACAGAGGTGAACGCTTTGGCTTTCCGGGCCAAGGGTGCTAGCTTGGCTATGGCCTCCAACTGGTAAGTCAACATCGTGCCTTCTAACAATGCCTACTAACATCATGGTTTAGGATTATGAACTACATGGTTGCTCAGATTACGCCTCCAGGTATTGCCAATCTCGGCTACCGCTTCTGGGTGATCTGGGCTGTGATCTGTGCTGCCTTCGTGCCGATCACCTACCTGTTCTACCCCGAGACTGCAAATCGCTCTTTGGAAGACATTGACCGCTTTTTCGCCGAGCACCCCGACATTTTCGTCTTCCGCAACAAGACTGCTACTCAGCTCGCAAGGCCTGACGTTTACTTTGAGGCAGATAAGGCTATCGCTGAGCAACAGAAGATCCGAGGCGAGGCGGATGAGAAGAGCATTACTAGTGCAGTCGAGAAGGAGTTTGCTTGAGAGTATAGTAGATCGTTAAGTGTTATAAGTAGATACTGCCTTGATAGACAATGCTACAGGCTCTGACATGAAAGGCCCCTTTAGTTTATATATTTAGGTAGATGCTCGATGCGACTCTATAGCCTGTTAATATACAGTCAATAAACATCATCAGGCACTTTTAAATACAGTAATGACTTACAGAAATATATAAACTAGCTATAATCTTTATAACTCTTTAAGTATAGCCTTTACGGTAGCTGCTATAGAAATAAGGCATTTCGTACCCTGTACCGAGACTGAGTTTCTTCACTTCACGTAATCATCTGTGTTCAAGACTTGCGCAACGCATTATTGGTGTAAAATTCCAGTACCCCAGCATTACGCATTGCGGGGTACTGGATTTCCTGCTCTGATCCTGGCCCAGAAGGAGAGCACAACGTAATGTGATTGGCGCGGAAAGCCTGAAGTGGGACAAGCCCTTCCAAGACTCCAAGGGCCACAGAAATTGTGAGGAGAGACGTATAGGGTATTATGCCGGGTAAATAGAGTCAACAGATCTTAGTATACTGGCAGTCTTGTTTGTCCGCAATAGCAATCTCCTACATATTTAACAGCCATTTACACATGGCAGGGCATTTTCCCTCGTTTCTCTCGGCTCACTCTTCTTGGATTTGTCTCCCATTGTAAACAATCTGTCTCCCAATGCGATCATACATATCCTCACTGCTCGTAGCCGGTCTAATGTCTGGTCTCAGTGCCGTGGGTTCGGCCAGAATGCCCCTGGACATACGTCAAGAGGAAACGTTCAACAATCCGGTCCTATTTCAAGATCTTCCAGATATAGATGTTTTTCGGGTCGGCTCTGTCTACTACTACTCGACATCGACCTTCGCCTTCAGTCCTGGGGCTCCAGTCCTGAAATCCTACGACTTGGTGAATTGGACGCCAGTAACGCACAGCGTTCCCGACGTTGCGAATTTTGGAAAAGAATACAAACTCAATGGCGACAATGACCGCGCTTATGTCAAAGGTGTTTGGGCGAGCTCAATGAGATATCGCAAGTCTGACGATAAATTCTACTGGATGGGCTGCATTCAGTCTACTGGCAAGACCTTCCTCTACACGGCTCCAGGGAATGGTGCTGCCGACAACGACGGCGAGAATGACAATTGGGAATGGACTCTTGAAGGGACCATTGACGAGTGCTTCTACGATAATGGAATCTTTTTCGATGATGACGATACCATGTACGTGACATGGGGCAACCGACAGCTCCGCGTTTCTCAGCTTTCCGATGATGGGCTGAGCGTCGTGCGGACCGAGACCATTTACGATAGTGGCGATGATTTGTATCTCGAAGGCGCCCATCTGTACAAAACCCGAGGCTACTACTGGGTGTGTCCTACGAAAGTTGCTAGCGGCCAATACATCCTTCGCTCAACTAAGCCGTTCGGCAAATACGAGGTCCGGGAGTTCTGGGATAATCTTTCTGGCCCACTCTCCAACGCCGGCTATGCTCACCAGGGCGGCATGGTGGACACTCCCGAAGGCGGCTGGCATTACCTCGCCTTCATGGATGCTTATCCTGCCGGCCGTGTTCCTGTTCTGGCCCCCATCACGTGGTCTGAGGATATCTGGCCATCGCTTGTACTCGATGCCAATGGCGGCTGGGGAGTGACATATCCTATGCCGATTCAGACAAACAAGACTGTCCCAGGTGTCGAACGTCTTGATGACTTTTCCGCATCAACCTTGCATCCAGAGTGGGAGTGGAATCATAGCCCGGACTCAGAATACTTCGAACTCGGGTCAGACGGCCTGGTTCTCAAGACTGCCTCTGTCGTTGAGGATCTCTTCAATGCACGAAACACTCTTACTCATCGTATTACAGGCCCACGATCTGTAGCGACCTGGCACCTCAATATCAGCGGTCTCACCCAAGGTGACCGAGCTGGTGCAGCCATATTCCGCGACGAATCGGCATATATAGGCGTGCACAAAGATACAAATGGTACCAAGATCGTTTTTGTGAACGAGATCAATATGAACCAGCAGTGGCAGACTGTCAATAGAGGCACGATCGCAGCAACAGGTCCCTCCATAGACGCGCACGAGATCTGGCTTCGTGTTGAAGCCGATGTGACCCCAGCTTTCGGTCTGTCTCCCGTGAGGGAAGCGCACTTCTACTATAGTCTTAACGGTGAGAACTGGAAGCAGCTCGGCACATTTGTACTCCATAATCGGTGGCAGTGGTTCACGGGCTTCCGTTTCGCGGTATTTAACTTTGCGACTGCGAAGCTGGGTGGCAAAATAAGTGTTAGGAGCTTCAAAAATGCCTTAACTTAATGCTTATCGATATATCTTGGGTCCAGGCCCTTTATCTCATTTCTATCTGTAGAGGGGAGGAACTCCGAGGAAGGTGCTGATCGCCGTCGGAAAGGGAGCATGGCCGCCGGCCGCTAGATAAACGAACCAATCATATCTTCTTACAGTGAGCTCCATATCGCCAGATCGGAGGCCGTGGGGTCGATTTGAGATCTGGAATCATGGATTGACAACTCTGGGGTGCTGTCAGTGAGAGTGTAGCTGAATCGGGTTGGTCGGCACGCGATATGAAGTCGCCTTAATTGTTTGTGAGCTGAGGATTGTTTTTCTGACACGATAAGAACAAGTAAGGCCTTCGAGTTTTAGTCACACTTCAGCGTATCACAGAAGATAACGTTCATAGATCTCACTGGCCAGGTGGTAACGGCAGCCACGAATTAGAGTTAAGTGGCGATAGAGCTAAGCTGGATCCCTTCTGGCTTATCAATAGGTCTTATGATTTATCGATTGGGGGAGATAAGCTTTACAGCGTGTTTGTTTTCGGATATCAACCCCCAGACTCCCCCCATTTAGTTCCCGTTAAAGCGCTTGGCATTTGTTTCCAACATCTCGGTTTCTAGTGCACTCATATTGATTGACTTGGTACTGCGCTTTCGCTGCCCGAATTCAAGATGCAGTCAGACGGCTCCGACACTAAAAATGGCTTCGGGGTCACTTCCGACTCCGAACCGGGGCAAGTCGGCGCAGTGAGGCGACGACGATTCGGGTTCAACTTCAGCCTCGAAGTCGACCAGGAACCGAGCTCTTTTGCAAAGTCGAAGAATTTTTCCAATGCGGATTTCGACCCGATCCCACCTTCGAAGCGAACCTGGAATTGGGGTGCCTATGTGGCTTATTGGATGGCAGATGCATGGGCTGTGTCGAACTGGGAAGTCGGTAAGCTTGCTACGTTGTTCATAGTCACAGGAAGACCGCGAATTGCTAATGTCTCGTGGCGTAGCCTCATCCATGATTGCTGTTGGACTGAGTTGGCGAATGGCAATTGGAGCCTGTGTTCTTGGTAACTTTCTCATGGGTATTGTCATTACTGTCAATGGAAGAATCGGAGCTATTGTGAGTCTCTCACTTTGTGAGTATCGCTCCTCATCGACTGACCTGTTCATAGCTCCACACTCCCTTCCCGGTTCTCTCTCGCATGCCCTTCGGCTACTACTTCAGTTACTTTGTTGTACTGTCCCGCTGTGTCCTTGCCATTGTCTGGCTCGGGTAAGTGCACTTTATCCTCTTGATACTACAAGGTGCGTGACTGACAGATGTCTTATAGTGTGCAAACCACGACTGGAGGTCAATGCATGACCGTTCTACTGACCGCCATCTGGCCGAGCTTCGCCAACATCCCGAATCACATTCCTGAATCTGAAGGTATCACCACTGCAGGCATGTGTGGATTCGTGCTCTACTTCCTCCTTCAGCTTCCCTTCTTGTGTATCCCGTACACCAAGGTACTACTCCATATACAGTTAGAGAGCTGAACACCAGGCTGATTACTACAGGTTCAATACTTCTTTGCCTTCAAGAGTATCATCGCCCCGATCGTGTTCCTGGCCGTCTTTGGCGACACATTGCACAAGGCCGGTGGAACAATCAGCCACAGCACTGTGATTTCCAAGGGCACTACCATTCACGGTGCCACTTTGGCATGGGCCTTCTTTAATAGTGAGCGAGGCAGTTCCGGTACTCTCGTTCATCCTCTAATAACTGAACAATTCAGATCTTAACGGAGTCTTGGGTAACTACTCCACGCTCGGTCTCAACATCGCCGACTTTTCGAGATATGCCAACAAGCCCAGTGCTCAGAATGTGCAGGCCATCGTTATCCCCTTTATCTTTAGTACGACTCTCCCTTTCAGGCGCCCTGCTCAAATTGCTAATTAGTGGCCTCAGCCATTGTCGGTCTCCTCGGCATTTTCACCGCAGCTGCTTCCCAATCTGCGTACGGCGAGGTTCTCTGGAACCCCATTGATATCATCAACTTGTGGATGAAATCGGGTTCCTCCGGTGGTCGTGCTGCAGCTGCATTCGCCGCCATCGGCCTGATTATCGTGACTCTCGGTATCAACATCTCCGCCAACTCAATTAGTGCCGCCAATGATTTGATGGCTTTTGCTCCCCGGTATATCAATATCCGACGTGGCCAAATTCTTGCCGCCATAATTGGTAGCTGGGCTTTTGTTCCGGTAAGTAAATGCAACTGGTACCTTTGATGCTACGACATCCCAGTCTCCCAAAACTCCGAGCTCGGTTAACTAAATGATTGACCTAATGCTGCAGTGGAAAATCCTGGCATCGGCTCAAAAGTTCATCGCCTTCCTCAACGGCTATACGATTTTCCTGGGTCCCATGACATCTATCCTCATGACAGAGTGCGTCCCTCTAAACCTTTGCGTGTGATAACTCTGTAAAGGTCCACTGACTCTAATCCTTTTCCAGTTACTACATTCTCCGCCGCGGCAAAGTCTCGGTCCCAGACATGTACGATTTCCACGGCATCTACCGCTACTCGCAGAAATGGGGAAGCAACTGGCGTGCTGTGGTTGCCTTCTTCATCGGCTGCACTCCTCCTCTTCCTGGCTTTATCGATAACATTGTCCAAGCGGGCGGTGGCCATACCGGTGTCTCGCTAGGAGGTCAACACCTGTAAGTCTAATATTCCATCCTGCCCCTAGTCTTGTCTGAACATGCATTCTGACTGAAGTATAAATAATAGCTTCTACATCGGCTATGTTTACTCTTTTATATCTGCTGGCGTCTTCTACTATATCCTTAACCACTTTTTCCCAGCCCCTGAAAGTATGGTAGAGTTTGCTATAACTGGAGAGGACATTATTGCTGCTCAGGACGCCAAGAACTTGGAAAGAAAGCAAGATGGGTTTTTAACTAAGGAGTCTGCTTAGATATATCCTTAGAGTATAGAAGGTTTTACAAATTGTCTAACTGTGTTTTCTTTAAGAATATAAATATCTTCAACTCTTAATTTACTACTAAGGCCTTAAGTGTAAGGCTCGCTTTTCCTTACGTTCCCACCACCCAAGCCCAAAAACTGTACTAACTGTAAGAATAAATATTACCACTACAGCGATCCAAAGCTCCTGATGGATGCGTAGCGTATAGCTACGGTCGCTGGTTTTAGGCTGGGCTGAAGGTTCAAACCACACAAGTGTAGTGCTGAAGAAGGACTGTTGTTTAATATGCCTATCAGTCAGCACAATGAAGCCTCCTTGGCTCTTATCTGTAATGGATTGTGGAAGTAATGGATGGGGAATTACGCACCAGGACCAGACTGGCGGGCAGGTAGAACATTGCCACAACTGTAGTGATACGTATAATGCGCGAATCCTGATATGTCTTGTTTGCCAGTGAAGCCATAGTCTTCGTTTCCATCGAATCATTCTCAGCGATCTGGGTGAGTTGAAGACTGTTATATTGTTGAATTTGCTGTGAGTTCAGACTAAGTATATCATCGAACTGTTACTCTCTTGTGTTAGTGTATACTAATATCTAGTACCGCTTCTTCTAAGTGTTAAAAACAATTCCTGGGACTCCTCACCATTACTCGTATATCTTTAGAAGTAGCAAGGAGCTTTTGGACTGTCTGCCTATAGTTCTTTAACTCGATTGTGACGTTGTGAATCTCGCGTTGAAACTCGCAGTGAAGAGTCATTGGTATAAAATTGGTGGCCGCTTTCGCTAGGGCATGTTCATGCCTGCTAATTTTTAAAGTCGTCTCCAACGTATTGGAAAGGATAGCGTTGGCATGATGCAGTTTCTTGCGAAGGAATAGAATGTCCTGTTTAGATGAAAATGTGACTTGGAAGTTCTGAGGCTTCTTGGACAGCGATACTGTATCAAACTGGGGTATCGTTAGCTCGAAACAAGATATGAAGGAGTAATCTTATGGGTTAACATACTGACTCCTTGAGACTGTCTGCGATATAGTTTAAGTAATCTCTATAGTTCAGAGTAGCCAAATCGAGGTATTTAAGATGCAAATACATAGGATGCTCGGCGGCTTCGTGTTTCTCCCTCGTGTCATGCTTAGCTAGAGGGTGAATGATGACCCAGTCAGAGAGCCCTCTAATGAAGTCATATCTATGATATAGGGCAGAGAGACGGCAAGACCATGGATCCTGTAAATCACGCCCATGGAGTTCAAAATATCGAAGGTTGTATCCGATGCCTAATTCGCAGTAAGCTATCCGATTCAATATACCTATAGAGCGAAGCATCTCACTGGCAGTCATGTATTTGCTCTCTGCTGGCAGGCATGTGTCTGGAGACGTTTGAGAAATCACAGGCTCGTCTTTTGATCCCGTTGAGAAATTAAAATGACAAGACATAAAGTCTTCGTCCTGCGAGCTCCACTTTCGTCTAAAGCTCATTACAATTTTCAGAAAGTGAGGTGACATGTGGAGAAAATTGTATATCCTCCAGAACATCTCGGGTGTGATGTTGATCCGGCTCCATGAGTTTAGGCGATCGAGAACTCTAAATGATACGGGATTAGTGCCTTGCTTGTTGTGAAGTATATAGAACCTCAAAGTTCAAGCGTACAAGATTCTGTTTGAAGGCAAACGTGGTTTATCCTGAGATTTCTTAGTTAAATGAACGAAATAACGTAGTCTTGAAAAGTTTGACCTCCAGTGCCTGTTTCAAAGAATCAAGGCTTTGAATGCTTTGTAAAGTATTGTTCTGCTCGATTTCACTTTGATCAGGTGGAGCTGAATTGTGGCGTTGCCGAGGTGAGAAGACTATATGCATAAGAGCCTTGTCTGCATCTTCAACAAATATTTCAGATATAATAGCTTCAAACTTGGATCTTCCGGGAACCCCATCTTGCTGTAAGCTGCCACTCAGCACCATACTTAGCTTCTGGAATGAAGGGCAAGAAAAAAAACAGTCAACGACTCAAATGGTAAAACATTGAGAGGATAGCCGTCGGGCAAGAATATGCGAGGCCAAATTTCTATTTACGATTTTGTTAGTTCCAATGCAGCCAGGCAGTGCAGTTTGACAAGTAAAGAGGCTGTGTATGTATGTGTTTTCAGGGTGGGGTAGGACCAGATACTCTAGACCAATTGCTCAATTTGTGGATTCGTGGAAAGACCGGATGGGGAATGATAGAAGAACAGGTCAGTATGTCATAAGGACTTAGATAATTTACTTAAACTCCTAGAACTGAAATGGCTAATATTTATATCAAGAGATTTATCATTATGGGCTGCCTGGCTATTTTCTGTCCCCCAAATTACTGCATACGGTAGCTCTTCGGCTTTGCAGATCACTTTCCATGCTATCTAGGGCGCCTCGTACATGCATGAAAATACCAGCATGCAGCTACAAATCAGGCTGTAATACTGTAGGCTGCAGTTGACGCCCAACGCAAGTTGATGCCTAACGGGTTACTTGTTCCGAACAGTGCATAATTTCATTACAATGATCTTTCTTTTATTAGTTGCGCGTAGTTTATAGTGAGAACCAACCACTACAAGATGGCAGACGAAATCACCCGGCTTGAAGCACAGTACGTCAACAAGTCTAAACTTGAGAGCTTACTGCAATCACTCTTCGGCTCGACTTATGAGGTAAATGTATGTGCAATATTTCCTTTTTTCTGCAATTTCTTCCTCGGCTTCTGTGTTAAAGCTCAGTGGCTAATCGAGATGGACTTTGTGTTACAGGAAGGACGAGGCATTATTGAAGTCACGGCTGCCAGGCAGCTCACACGCGTGAGTACACAAAATCTACACTCATGCGAAAAAAAAACTAGCTTACAGTTGTTATAGGATGAAATCAAGTCTGTAACGAACAATGCATAGTCTAGAGTTTGCATTCGTTTTGGCTGGCTGGTATAGGATTCGTGTGCGCTATTGTCAGGGAATTTTATCAATGCATTGCTAGTTTTGTTGAATTCACAGAATCTATCAATTATTCATCCCAAGCTGTGCGCATAACCCTAACTACTAATGTGCTTGACAACAGAAAGACTCTATGTATTAGCGGGAGGAACACGCTGCGTACCGTCACTGGAGAAATGGCGGCAAGTCACCGTAATCAACCAGTGTATGAAGGAGGGTAGAGGAAACAATTCTAACCTATAGAAAGCTCGGGTATGCTAAGTTGCACACGTGTCACTGCGGGGTTTCTATGTCTGACAATCACAACGAGCCTCATTTCTGTTCAGCATGTCAGCCAATGATTCTCAGTGGTAGTTTAATCCAGGGATCGCTCATTTAAGCCACTGTCATTGTTTAAATGGATCAGCTTAAGACCAATATCAAGCGTTTACGTCGAAAAAATGCATCGCAACGATGGTACATACCCGAAAGATCCCTCTTGGCAGTCATGACCGAGGACGCCATCAACAATACCTTGGAGAGATCGACTATACCCTCTCACCAGCACGCCGAGACTCTGCAAAGAGTAGTTGAAAGCGGCAGAAGGATTTACTCAATTTTGGCACTGCTGGACTTCTATCAGTATCTGGCCAACTTCATTGAAGGTGACCAACTCGACGACGCTAAGCTCCCTTTTAGAATCGATACACTCCAAACTCTTGAGATCCCTGAAGACGATGCCAAAGACTTTGAGAACAAACAGTGGGAGCTTCTTGCGCCTGTATTTCGTCGCGGTACTCTCAATAAACGTCTTGATGAGAGCCTCATCCTCCCTTTCACCCAAGAGAAGAGAATCGGTAAAGGTGCATTTGGCACAGTCTATGAGACCGTCCTTGATCCTAATCACCAACTACTTTCAGGCGAATTTTTTCCGCAAGTTGTATGTGCTTGACCTAGAATACCCTGACATTAAATTAAAGCTAATGCTGCACCTAAGGTAGCTAGAAAGGAGTTCCACATCAAGGGCCACCATCACAAAGAGCTTGAGAACCTGTCAATTCTCAACCATCTCAAACATGCCAACATTGTTGAACTTTTGGGGTCCTTTACAAGCGGAGACTTACACAACCTGTTCTTTCCCTTAGCAAGCGATGGTAATCTCTATGATGTTTTGTCATCAGATCGCCAAGCAGATTTATTCGCCTCTTCTGAAACAATGCTCGTTGAACTTGCTGCTTTATCCTCTGCTATCGAGCACGTTCATGATTTTTCCAAGGAAAACCTCGATCTGGAGTTGATTGGCTGTCACCATGATCTCCGTCCCCGCAACATTCTCGTTTCAGGCAGCAAGCTAATACTGGCTGACTTCGGCCTCTCAACGCTCAAGCCATCTTCACAAAACTCAGAGACTCCGTTCAAGCACAATGGTGACGATTATTTGGCTCCTGAGTGCGAAGACTGGGACAACAGCTTTGTCCCTGGTAAGGTTCATCGATCTGCTGATATATGGTCTTTTGGGTGCATTATGGCCGAGATTGTTACGTACCTTGTCTCAGGTCGTGAGGGAGTTGAAGAGTTTAGACAAAAGAGGAAACACAAAGTTCGAAACTGGACATTCTATCAATTTCACCAAGGCCTTGATCGACCAAGCGACGCAGTACATCAATGGTTATCGGACCTTGAGACTACAGGCCCTACATGCACTGCGTTGCTTGTCAAGAGTATATGCCAAACAATAGCTATCAACCAAGCCTTAAGACCTACAGCTAGTAGTGTCACCTGCAAGCTTCGATTTATAGCTGTACACGAAATATCAGTATCGATCAACGAATTATTCAGGCAACTGAAACACGCAGCACCATCTATAGACATGTCCCTCGAACGCGAAAGGTTTCGGGCTTGGCAACATGCCATTGGCCTGGATGACCTGAAAGGGAAACTGTCTCAGCCCAAAGGCAGCGGATCAAGCGACGAGAGTACCATGACACAGTATAGTGGAATAATGGAAAGTTTGCGTCGCCTTAGAGAAGACCTGCAAGACAGACTTTCTAGAGGACTGGACTCACAGCGCTTGGACTTGTCACGCCTGGTGAGGCTACAGGATGAGTTGCACTACTTCCTAGATCAACAACAGAAGAATGCATCACAAGCGTACTTCCTTGTCTCTCTGCTGAGCGGCCAGGACGCAGCTCTAGGCACCCTCAACGAAGATGGCGACCAGACCCTTGGAGCAATCAGCCATGACTTGCGTATGCGAGCCAATATAAGATACATCAACAGCCTGCTGGTTTCAGAGTCTGTTGGGGGTCAAGACCCCCCACGAAGCGGATTTGAACCTCTACTCTCAAACCAGACTATTCTTATCGATCCTAGCAGAATCCCGAAGTTGAAGCCAATCGGTGACCATCACTTTGGATCCGGGCTTCTAGAGAAGAGTGACTCGGATACTATAGTGAGCCGCCCCATATGGGTTGAGTGGCGCAGATACGAACATCATGGTGCTAGTGAAGATACTATGGCCAAGTTGTACGCTCGGGCTACTCAGACCGCCAATCTGTTATCCCAGAAAAAGCCCGATTCATTTCGAACGCTTGACTGCCTGGGACTCTTCCATGAGCCATCAAGAGGTGCCTTCGGCCTACTCTTTGAATTCCCTCCTTATTCCAGCAACCCCCCCCATGCCCTGACTGGTACGCTAACCGGTCATGGCAACGGTGCTCTTCTCGGAGGCACAGTCACGCTGGACAACAGGAATAAGCCTGTTGTCATGACTCTGCGCGATCGGCTCCAAAAGGATAATCCCACTTCAACCCACTCACGTGCTGCGACTGCGGCGCCCGACCTTGATGACAAGTTTAAACTAGCAGCAACACTGGCAACGTCATTATTTGAGTTGCACACTGTTGGATGGTTGCATAAGAGTTTGACGAGCTCCAACATCGTATTCTTCCCTTCATTTACGTTGCTACCAGATTCTTTCGGCAAAGACACCGATGTTACAGAGCACGGCTGGGCTGCTAACAGCCAATCAATACGAGAACCCTACCTTGTAGGCTTTAATCACAGTAGACCAGATGACCCTACGACATTTACCTCTGGTCTCACAGATTCAGAGTCAAGACACTACCAGCACCCAGCGTATCTGAAAGCCGGTGTTAGCTACCGTTTGGAGTTTGACTATTATAGTCTGGGGATTCTTCTCCTCGAGATCGGCTTTTGGAAGCCGTTTAGTAAGATCACCAAGGATTGGAGCGGCTCATTTGAAGAGCGCCGGCAGAGACTACTCACAAACCGTGTGCCGAAGCTCGCTCAGCATATGGGGCGTGATTATAGTGAAGCAGTACGCTGTTGTCTGTCCAGTGACTTCCAAGGACCGGTCAGCGAAGAGAATACTAGCGAGCGAGGGACTCAATTACATTTTCGAAAGAGGGTTGTTGCAAAATTGTCGAAGTATTTCACATAACTTTAAAGGTAACTTAGATCAAATAGCTGGATTTAAATGCGATGTGCTGACTTTGTGACCTAATGATGAAATAATTCCAGTGTCAGAGTCTTTTCAGTATACCTTTAAGCAGTAGACTTCTAGCAGTAGTAGCTGTGCCACTGTCTCAGATGAGCTGTGGCCCAATCATGTCTCGACACATGCGTCCCTAGGCAGAAGTGCAAATCCAGTTGCTTACGCTGTACTCCTAGTTCAGGCTCGTCCTATCCCGCAATCTTGAAACTTTAAGGCATTTTCCATCTCTCTGTGATCACCGAGAGTAAAATGGCTTCTACTTTACTAGGTTCCCTTTGGGTAAGATTCTCCACTTGTTCATTATTGTAAATACCCTAGGCTAACTCTAAAAGTCGGCGGCGGAGGAGTGTTCAAAACTTGAAGATGATGACATTTTCCTTGAACAACAAAATGGAATGTTGTACTTCTCGCAGACGAAAAGTACACAGACTCCCGATCATCTTATTCTTAGTCTAACTCATTCCACGTTTCTCAGCTCTCGGCTTTTCTCCAGCGAGGGGGTTTCTCAACACTCTAATTCTACCTCAGGATGGAACCTGATTACATTTCTTGCTGTCGTCCAAAAACTAGAGATTAAAATCTTGCCAGTCGCATGGGAGCCTGGGAGGCAATTAATTGGGAGAGGTGGAACAAGCCAGATCAACCAGTCTGTCGTAACCCTCCAGGCGAGCTTTGCCTTCAAGCGTGTTTCTGAGGAGGACCGGCTCAATAAGACGGAGGAGGACATATACCGGTGTCTTATCAATGAAGTGTTGGTTCTTTGCCATCCTCGCGTTCGCGGCCACAGCAATATCCTTGACCTGCAAGGTGTATGCTGGGATGTGTCGCCAGAGAACCAAGATGCAGCCTCTCCAGACTTGGAAAAGCAATATAGAATCTGGCCAGTCCTGGTATTCGAGAAGTCACAGCTCGGAGACTTGTTCGACTTTGCAGGTCGACCCAATACCCAAAAGCTCACAATAATGGAGCGATGGATGATCTGCCTTGACATCGGAAAGGCGATAGCACACATGCAATCCAGCAGTAAGTGTGAACCTTTTCAGTAACTAGTATAAGAGCTAAAGGTATACGAAGATGTTATCCATGGAGATATAAAGCCGCAAAATATTCTCATCTTCAAACGCGACGAGGGGTTCACTGCCAAGGTTGCCGACTTTGGCTACTCAGCTTGGTATGCCTCAGATGACAAGCACATTGTGCTTCCTCGGTCTCCTCTATGGCATGCTCCGGAAATCGATGAGTACCCTGAGTTCAATTTGAGAATGGCACTCCAGACAGATGTCTATTCATTTGGCCTAGTCTGTCTATGGTTCATGTTTTACAGCTACTTGTCGGGAAACCCCCCACTTCCTGGCCTGGATCTATCTACTCCATTGCTGCACTCCGACAACCCCAAGGAAAGGTCTCTTCAACTTCTATCCCGTCTCAAGTCTTCGAATAACAGCAACGTTTCTTTGAGCCAACTTGTAGAGCATGTACTGTGCCAAGAAAGTGGACTGGATCTTATTTTCAAAAACAGTATCTTATGTTTTTTCCAAGGATGTCTCGATCCAGATACGAATGTGCGAAGCCCTGACGTACAGAGCTCACTACAATGGGCCGTTAACTCGTGAGTAGCAGACCCCACATCTTGCGAAATGCACAATTTTCTAATGGTAGATCTCAGAGATACAGCTGACTTGCGAGTCACTTTGACTGAGATGTATTTCCCCACTGAGAACGATTTCAAGGCAAGTCTGACTATAAGGTACGGGAGGTCTGTTCTAATACTCGGCAGCTTGAACCTTCACTCCATGAATTGTACTCTTCCGACTATCGAGTAAGATCTTGCATCCGCCACCAGTTGGAAGAAATAGTCAGATCAAAGCCAGAGACGCGACTATCACAACAGCTGAAGATTTGTTACCAACTCGAATTTGGACGTCCAGACTCAGCAACTAAGGTTATGTCTCTGTATGATGGTAAACCCCATGAGACGCGTCTGAACCCAGGTCTGGGAACCAATGGTCCAGGCGTATCATTGTTCGAACAGCAGGTTGCTGATGGCTACCTTTCCCCTGCACGTTCCCTCATTCAGAAATATGTCAACGATGGTGTTCTGGATACAGCCCAACGCACGATTGAAGCTGACATCGAGAGTCTTAGAAAGATACCAGAGACGCGATTTCTTGTGGCTCTGCTGAAGTCAAATCTTTCACTAGTCTTCGGAGCTCAGGGACAATGGAATAAAGCTGAAAACCTAGAGATTGAGTTCCAGAAGGAGCAGGCGAATCTCTTGGGTAATCGCAATAGAGCATGGCTGGGTAGAACGTTGAATCTGGCGTACATCTACAACCATCAAGGTCTTTCAAAAAAGGCCGAGGAGCTTAGTTTACAAGCCCTTGAAACCTCAAATGAGATACTCACCAAGGAACATCCTGACATGCAGCTAGTAATGCTCACCCTAGCATCGACTTACTGGAGTCAGGACCGCTGGGATGAAGCATATGAACTACAGCGAAGAGTCATAGCAATCAGAAAAAGGACCCTTGGTGAAGATCATCCCGATACGTTGAGTAGCATGAACGAACTTGCGACTACATACTGGGCCCAAGGACACTGGATCGAAGCTGAGAAATATGCAAGAGAAATCGTCGAGACCAGTAAGACCGTGCTAGGTCAAGAGGACCCCCATTTCTTGGATCTCTTATCAAACCTAGCTTCGATCTACAGGGATATTGGTTGGTGGGACAAAGCTGAAGATCTCGAGTTCGGCATTCTGGAAACCAGGCTGAAGGTCTCTGGCCCAGAACACCCACATACGTTGGCAAGCATGGTCAACTTGGCATCCACATATGCGAAACGGGATCGATCGGATGAAGCACTTAATTTAGTAACGAACGCGTTGGAGATAAGTGAGAGAACACGGGGTCCAGAGCACCCTCATACTCTTAGTACCGCCATGGTGCTAGCTTCATTGTTGCAAGTCCAAGATGAGCTGGAGAAGGCAGAAAAGCTCATGATTACGACGATGGAGACTTTGAAGAGGCTTCAAGGTCAACATCATTCATTGACCTTGCTGGCGATGGAGAGTTTATGTTCACTCTACCTGGACCAAGCTCGGTGGGAAGAAGCTGAAACGCTGGGCCAAGAGGTCGTGGATACAAGTAAAGAACAACTCGGAGAGGATCACCCTCGCACCTTGATGACAATTTCAACCTCAGCAAAGGTCTATCGCGATCAAGGCAAGTGGGAAAGTGCAGAGAAGATAGACTCGGAAGTCTTGGACAAAGCTGTCAAAACGCTGGGAGAAGAACATCCTGAGACTATGACCATTATGGCAAACTTGGCTATTTCTTACTGGGGTCTTAAGAAACTAGATGAGGCAGAAGCATTGGAGATCAAAGTTCTCGAAATGAAGAGGAGGATCTTGGGAAATGGCCATCCGTCAACATTGACCAGCATTGACAACCTGGCAGCTACATATGTTGATCAGGGCCGTTGGGCGGAGGCTGAAGAGCTAGAGTTGGAACTATTCACCACCAAAGCAAAAACACTGAACGAAGACTTTTCAGTTGCAAGAACAACTGCAGAGACTGAAGCGATGCTGTTTTGGGATTATGACGATATTGAAGAGTCAGAAAGGCTGTGGCATATAGCTATAGAGACGAGAGGGAGAATTCTGGGCAAAGACCACTACTTTACAGTACATACTATGGAAAGACTTTTAGCTAGATATCAAGAGGATGGGCGGTCGAAAGACAGTGAACAGCTGGCAGAGCAGATTCGGGAGCTAAAGAAAGGTCAGAGAGAAGATAGCCCTTCAACGAATGCGGCGGCGCGACAAGGGGGGTTACTAGGCTTACTACCAGAGTATACGGATAAGGTTGACAGAGAGGTACTGAAGGACCTGGGGTTAGAGGTCCAGCTTAAATATAGATAACTATGGCTAAAAACCTAATATTTACTATATAAAGAGATGTTTTACCTCTATAATTCCACCCTCATTCAGACATAATCATTGCCATAAATCCTTTCGAAG